ATAAAGAGGCTGGACCAAGCTCCCGAATCCCTTCTACCATGTGAGAACACAAGAAGAAGTCTGCAACTCAGAAGAGGGCCCTCACCAAACCATGCCGATACCCTGATCCCAGACTTCTAGCCCCCAGAAATATGCAAAATATATTTCTGTTGTTTATAAGCTACCCCGTCTGTGGTGTATTGATATAGCAGCTGGAACAAAGACAGAAGGTAGGTATAGTATCAGTTACTTGGGTATGGCAGAAATGGGAGCCTCTGCATGAAGCACAATCAATAGTATAGTTCCCAATTAAATACAACTAGTTCTCCTGCACCACTAATCCTGCACCCTGTCCGCCCTAGATGGCTCACCATTCCCAAGAAGTTGTGTGCTGTTCCTTCTTGCCCTGGTGTGGGGCTGTCTTTCGCAGGTACTCTTATCTTACTCCTATTGGCCTCTTATACCGAAGGCCAATGACACCCTTCTGCAAGTCCTCCCACAGCACACCCAGAGTTAGCGAGGTACCAACAGCCTCCCCTGCACTTCCAGAAGCCTGTTCTTTATCCTGTACCACAGCACTGATCACATTATAGAGTAATTATCTATTTGCTCATCAGTTCCTTTCCGCCTCCCCCTCCAGCGATTGTGGCTTTACAGCTTTTTGTCCCCTGCCCAGGAATAAAGCCTGGCATCTATAAACCCCAATAAATGCCTGTTACATAAAGTACTGGATGAATCAACGAAGAGTAGGAACTACAGGAAAAAGAGAAGGCTAAGTCGAGATTTCACTGCTCTCACACAGATCATTGTGTTCTGACATACGTGGTTGACACAAAAGGAGAAAAGCAAACACAGAGCCTATGGGATGCTTAGAAACAAAGTTGATTTCTGTCTCTCAAATCCCTGAAATTTGAGAATTATTGTTGTTGTTGTTTTTACCACTTCAGGCATTATCCTCTTTGCCCATAGGAAAGAGATTTCTGCTAAGATCTATTTGGCCCTTCCAGCTAACCCATCTGTGGGCTAACCTGGGGCATCCAGGATAATTCCCCCCTCGCACTCCACATACACACCAGTGGAATCAGCCCAGAGCTCTAAGTGTTCCTGGCAGTCAGTTTTGGCTTTTCTGTGGGCCAAAGGGATGAAGTCACCATCACCAATGAAGTCACCACTGCATGATTCATCTGACATCAGTTCACCACGTGAAGTGCTCTCACATTTTCAGAGCTTCTCTCAGACCATCCAGAACCTGGAGTCCCTGACATTTTTCAAGGTTCTGGAACTGATCCTCCAGCTCCCTGGAGCCCTAGTAAACGTCTGCCCCAATAAGAACTGAAAGGCCGGAGTCCAGAGCTGGGGATGCCTCTCTCCTCCAGTCCTGGGACAGACCTTGTCATGTCTCCTAAAGGCCTTCCCCATGTCTCCAGCAACTGCTTCTCCTCTTGCTCCAAAGCTGTTACCAGGAGCTCTCATGACACATTCTGAAGCGCTCGAGTTCTCAAGGGTGAGACCTGATCTCATTCTTACAGATGCAATCACATCTATAGATGAGAAAGCTGAGGCCCAGAGAAGTGTGCCTCTAACTAGCATCCGAGCTGGGACCAAATGCACTCTTCTGGCCCAGTACACTCCAGTAGCTCCTAACCTCTTCTAATAGAACTTCCTTTCAGAATACTGGTCCCAGCAAATGCTGCCCGAAGAAATGGTCCACTAGGCAAAGGGAGCAAGTCTCCTTTCTTCCCCGTTAAGTGGCAGACGTGGCCTTGGACCAAGATCTGACTTCAAGGCTGCCTTTCTTGTCATGCACACAAAGTGTCTTCAGGGTTCACTGCATCAACTACAGCAGCAGGCGATGCAAATGCCCGCCCACACTTAGACGCTTTTGGAGGAGTCTGGTGAGATCTTGAGTGTGATTCCACAAGGAACTACCAATGATCCAGAAAGTCCTCCTGGGACCATAGAAATCAGATTTGGGGTTTGAGAGTTGAGGCCTCAGAAGTGAGGCACAGGGACATAATGAACATTTCCCAAAGTGAAATGTCCTTGAGTGCTGAAATTAGCTGGAAGCCTTTGGTATAACCACTTCACCTCCTTAGGTCTGCTGCTTACCTACAGCCTAAAGGAGTCTAAGAAAGATGGTCCAGCCGACTTCTGTACTGCCTCTCAACACAGCGTTTCTAACCCTGCGAATCAATGAAAGGAAGTGGTTTATCGCGTGTCAGCAGAGGCGGGGTGCAGTGTCAGTGTGGAGTGTACCCACTCTCCTCCACCCTCTCCCTCGGTGCCTGATGTTCAAAGCAGCACCACTGGTCAGCGAATGGGACCTGGGCAGCCAGGGGCTTCTCGGCTCTGCCCAGGCAGGGGGACGGGGTTGCTGCCTGGGTCACAGACCAGGCTTAGAGCACCACAGGGCATCACTCCTCAAGGATCACTACCTAACACCTTTGAGGGGCACCGGGGACTACCAGGGGGCCTCAGGGAAAGTCTCCTCCAGGGGGAACAAAGGTACATTTGTGGGGTTCACAGCCAGCGACGTCTCCCTTTTCTGTCTGGTTATGGGGTGCTTCAGTGATTGAAGATGCTGCAACCCCTCAGTCACCAGTTTCATAGTAAAGGATTCAAGCTTCTGCTGTGAACAGCATGGGTGGCTGTGGGAAGGGGGCGCACGGCATTACCTGGAGTTGACCTTCCAGCCCAGGGACCACCACCCCCCCTCCCCCGTCACTCCACGCGCCATAAAAAAAATTTTTAACCCTCTTGGTCTTTCTTTTCTTCCGATTTCTATTTCTTTTCTGCACTCAGAGGCCGATGCATCCTGCCTTCTGGGTGGAGTTTAAATATAAATGTACAATTTTGCATGAGTATTGCGTCATCGCTGGAGTCGTCGTTGTTCCCCAAGAGGCCTCATCTTCTCCCAGCACCGGGGCCTTTGGACGCTTCCGGGCGCTGCGGGCACTTTCGCGACGAGCCCTCGGCTCCTCCCCGGCGCCCCCTCCCCCCCCGCCTCGCTCCGCCCCTTC